GATACAACTATCACTGTAGCTAAATCATGGTCTCATCAATTTGAACTGCCCCCAAACAGGCAAACGTGGTATTTAAATAGGTACTGACTTCCAGAACCAAAGCTTGTACCAAATCTCAAGCGACAGATCAGAAGACAACTACGTCTCTCATTAATCTGCAAAACCTCTCTCATGGAGAGCCATAAAATGAAATATGTGGACCAGCTGACTCCACCATTGTGTGAAGTAAGTTAGGAGATCTCCAAAAAATTATTCACTTTTTGATGGAACTTGTGTCGGTTTTGCATTGAAATCCGATCTTTCGTTCACGTTTGAACGGGACATCCTCGAGGCGCTATCCCGAATTTTCCCACATGAATATTAAGTTCTGTAGACGCCTTTTTATTGACAATATATATGATCATCTTTGACGGATTTATATCACTGGAATAGCATCCAAGCCAAAAAGGAGATTCCCAGTTGCTTAATGGTTTCAAAAACCACACTGTCACGATCTTACTTCCGGTATAAGGCACGATTTACTCACGTTGTCTCAATCCGGATCTAAACGGGTAAATATCCGTGCAGCGGGAACAGGAAGAAGGAAAATGAATTAGGCGTGGGGGAAATTATTATCGATATTTAATAGTAGTCGAGACGCGACTGGGGAACGGAGAGGCTATAAAGAAAATCTTGCTTCGCTGTTTCAGTAATGGATTCATTTACTTTGGTATGAAAAATAAATCTCGCTTTGGTACGTGGAAGGAATACTAATGGATTTTTGTAAGCCTGCACATATAAGAAAATGATTTAAACTTGTAGATAATAATATTTTGTCGGCACAAGTTAGGACTTCTCAAAAGAAAGTTATTAACGTTTAACAAAGGAATTAAGTGGATCAACTCAGTCAAATAGGTCCAAAAATTAGTCCCCGCTCCCAACCCATTTGATAATGTTGCGATCTGGAATACCGACCATCCGACAACGTTGCAATCACAGTTGGGTGGTGGATTAAACCTTGCCAACGGTAGTGGCCAGCTCGCGACAGCTATCTACCATCTCCGTTGCGCTCGATGCAACTATCATTCTAAATTCAGACTGCTCTACCACTAGGAGCCCACTTCACACCCTAGCTATGCAGTGCACTATTTTTTACTTTACAAATTAATTACAATATTTCATTTCTTGTAAGCAAGAAAAACTTACTAAAAATGTTTTTCAGAAGAATATCAAGATATATCGAATTTTCGTGACTTGCTACAATTGGAGAAAAGTTCACGTTATTTTAAGTGTCCTTTTTCAAGCACGAGTTTATCAAAAATCGGTTAAGTATGAACTTGAATGCCCAGGAACTTAATTTATTCATTGTAGCCACTCATTCAAACCACCTAAAGCATTGTACCCGGCATTGAGCTGTTAATTAGATTCCATAGACTGGACACAGGGCTGCAGAATCAGCACCTGACCTCTTGGTCAAATCGGTTAAGTTGCCAAAAAAACAGAAAATGTCGAGAAAAAAGTAAAGAGGGAAAGACATAAAAAGAGGAGAAGAGCAAGAAAAAGAGGAAACACTGAAGTATTTTGATTTGGTATACGGATTAATTTTCAGGTGAACTAAAAACAAATTTTGATTCAGCCCAACTAACAATTATCACTCCTATTAGAGTTGCAAGAATGATTATACAGTATTCCTTAAACAGCATTGAAAACTGTAAGAACATTGGCAAAACCCTCTTAGAACAGCTATACAAGCGGAATGGGCACACCTAATAGGACACTTCAGTCATTTAAGGGGTTGTATAAGGGCTGCAGGTAACAGTTATACAACAAAAGTGTAGGCCTCTTGCAGCCGCTATAGGACATTTGCGGCAGTGCAAGTTTCAGTTTTTGTCAACTATACAACTATTCTGTTACGTGATTCTACTTTATTGCAACCAAACTATTTCTTATGTATTGTATAGACGAAGAAGAGTATATAACTAACAGATTACAGTAATCTTGTTTACTTACATATCGGACATTGTGAATTTCATTCACAGGTATATGATAAACTTCTACACTGTTATATAGGGCTATTGAATTACTTGCGCAGCAAATTTTATTGTGATTATCGTGCAAATTATTTACGCAATATCTACGGGCTTCATATTTGATTCATATTTTGATAATGATCAAAAGTATGTCTAGATTTTTAAGATGGAAAACTAAACTTATCTGCGTTAAATCTTCCACAAATCCTATATTTAGACACAATTACGCTAATGTTTATCACTTTATATCTGTAATTTCGAACTGAAACATAATTATTTAATATTAAATGGAGGAATTAATGTTTGCCCAATATGGCGGGTGGTTATGTATAATCATGGCATCGTTCATGTTGTCTTTAGGTTATTAGAATATTTTGGTGTTGCCTGCAGGTGTTATACAACAATTTGACAAATGTCTGAAATGAAATACCGACAGAGTCGAATGATTTACCCAGAATTTGTACCAGATCTATATCTTCTGTTTGAACAGTTGATAAAACATTATGAACCAATATGCATGCTTTGTTTGTCTCAAAATATTGGTTATGGCATTTTAACAAAAATATGACAGCAGAAAGTTAGGTTATGGTGAAGTTGTATACCAACATATTTAGCATATGTACAGCCTTTAACAGTTACTAAACAACAGTTGTATAAGTGCTTCCGTTGGGAGCAATTTGTTGGCTGAAGTAGTAAATTGCACAGCAAAACAACAAGGCTCGGGTTTGTTGTATAAACGTTACCATGGATGCCACAACACAACCATTTTGACTAACGTGCAAATATGCCGTATAAAATAGTTGTATAAACGTTTATGCAACAGTTACAAATTTGCCCTATAAGGTATTGTATAACTATGCTATAAGAATATTTTAAACACCTCACTTTAGAGCAAATATGTTGCAGAAAGCAAATTTGCATTCCACACAACATTAAGCCAGCATTTTGGTGTTCAGGCAACAACAACAGAGAGCTTTTATGGCTAAACGGTTCTTTTACCAAAAGCTTATACCACTGCTTTGCTAGTTGGGAGGTTTTGTTAGAGTGAAACTGGTGCAGGTTTAGGTGTACTAAAAGTTCACGCGATATTTTCTGATCGTAGTGCCAGTCGTAGCCTTAAATGTTCATTAACTTTCTTCTCTGTGTAGTCCACTCAGTCTCACAACAGCGTGTTGCTGTGCGACTCCACCTTACTATAGTGTCGCTGAGCCTGGAGCAAGGCATAATCCCTCAAATGAGGAATGTCAAGGTATCTGTGTAATTTTTCAGCTTACACTACCATGAGTCAATTTGTTCACAACGAAATACTTTGTAGTACTTAAAGACTTTACATGTGCGTCTTGGCCAGAAAGCACAAAGCCGCTCATGCATAAGTAATAGATACTTTAATAATAATTTTGTAGCCTCTTATTATAGGCCTCATCTGAGGAATTAGACATCACTGTGTGTTAGGAAACCCACCGTGACCCTCATGACAGTCCTTATTAAATCCGAGCAGGTTTTATGCAACCATGGTCTTCTATTCTATTATTGACTTTTTTTCTGCCTGATTGATTGTTCAGACATTCTAGAGACTCATCCAACAGTTTTCGTCTTTCTCGAGCAGTGTTAGGTAAAACTTTGACATGCATCGAAAATACATAACGTACTATATAACTCCGCAAGTTAAGCATGAGAAATTTCATCTGGATTTTCATCCAATTACATCCCAGCTTTGCCATCCATTCCTGTCTAATTAGAGGTTGTAATATCGCTGGTTCAGGCTAAATCAAATCCGCAACGTTGGCGTTGGTCTGGTCGCCGTTACAGAATGACAATTCCGACACGTCGCACCATGTATTATCAAAAATAGAAGTTTAATCATTATTGTCGCCTCTGGTATATAAACCACAACGTACATAGCTGCAACCAAGTCTGGAGATAGGAATGGTGTCTGAAAATCCAGAGGGTGGATGGAGCATTAGATTGTTAGAGTACGTTAGCAGTTTTTATCGAAATTAAAATTGGCGTCTAGTACACTGACCCTGTGGTAACTCTTTAGTGTCATTTTCAAAGGAAACCGCATCCGTATTACGTAACTTAAAAAGTGACAATGACCTGTATTCAAGACAGAAGCATATCCTCGAAAGCATAAGGTGAAAGTATAAGGTTTTGCTTCGGAGAAAAATGTTGAAGTTACTGATGATTGATTACCTTATACTCGCAAGGATATCCACCAAGAGGATATTAAGCGTTGACTGGTATTTGAATCTTGAGCGACATGTCCTGACTTCTTCCAGCTTGTAGTGGGCGTGGGACCTTGTTCACTCAGCATCACTTACACAACCAGTTGCACTCTAGAGTTTCGAGGTGACACTTTTTACTGGATACAGTTTTTGATCAGACTAGTGAGCATGTCAACCGCAAATGATGAGGAAACTATAAAGAATGATGGAAATGAACTACAGTTCATCGTAGATGAAATTGCCACTACTCCCATTATTTTGGAGAAGTCACAAGTTCCAAAACCAAAAATGTGAAAGAACGATACCTTAAAAAAATATATCAAAAATACGATTCAACATTCGGTAAGCCATTAGATACTAAAGGCTTATTGAAAAAAATCAACAATAGGACGTCGAGATTGAAGAAAAAACAGATAAAAAAAAATGGTAACAAAGCAATGAAATTGTTGAATTGGGAGAGACAATTGCTGAAAGCTACGGAAGGTGACTGTAATCTTACGATTGGAAAAATTAGAGTTGCCATACAGGTTGGTAGTGTTCAGGAAGAACGTAGTGAACTATATTCTGAGCGTCTTGAGCAATGAGTTAGATGTGATCAAAAAGTAAGTAAACTCCCGGGCATTAGGAAGGCAAGTATATTCTTTTTTCCTAGGTTGGTAGGACTATCTGTAACATTTGGCAAGCGTCTGCTTGTCAAGAGGTTTAATTATCTCCGAGTTACAGGTGTTTTTGTAAACAACCAAAAGTGAATTTTTCTATTTTTACAATGGGTGATTTTGTTGAGCAAAAAACTTGCATCAAATTTTGTTTGCGGAACGAATATTCTTGTGCGGACACGTCGAAAATGTTGCGGAAGGCCTTTGGTGATCAAACTATGCCACAAAAAAACATTCATAAGTGGTACAACGAGTTCAAAGCGGGTCAAGAACGCGTTGAAGACGAACGTCGCTCTGGACGACCATCAACATCTACCGACGAGGACCACGTCCAACAAATCAAAGATGTAGTGCTTGAAAATCGTCGATTGACAATTAGAGACATCGCTTGGCTCAGCCCAAACCATTGTGAAGGATGATCTGTGTCTCAAACGCGTCAAGTCTTGATTGGTGCCAAAATCGCTCAATTTTTTGGAAAGACAGCGTCGCGTTGATGTGTGTGAAATTTTGCTGTCTGACTATCACTTGAAATGCATCATTACTGGAAACGAGACTGGGATTTACGCATACGACCCTGAAACCATCGACCAATCCAGCTATTCATCTGAAACGGCCGGAATTATGGGCGAACAACTCTTGGTTCCTTCAACACGATAATGCACCATGTCATAATGCATTGGTGCTTCGCAACTTTTTTTGAAAAAAGTCAACTCATATCGTTCCGCAAACACCGTATTCGCCTGATTTGGCCCCATGCGACTTCTGGCTTTTCAGCAAACTAAAAAGGCCAATGCGGGGACGCCATTTTGACACAATTGAGGAAATAAAAACTGAATTGAAGAAGGTCTTGGCAAAAGTGCGTTTTATCGGACGGGGATTACTTTGGAAGGGGATCATTTGGAAGCAAGAATAAAGAATTTACATTTTATAAACAATTTCACCTTACTTTTTGATCACATATCCTTTTAGTTATGAGTCACTGCTTTGAAGAATATGCGTATAATCAAACAGCAAAAGCATTCGCTTCAAATTATTATAAATACCATCTAAAGCATTTCTTCCGAAATTTGTCAGTACAAGGATATCCTTTGTTTTATGAATACTGCTCATTATATCGATTTTTTATGACATTATGTAAGTTTTTTGGCATTATCTAGGTTTTCCTATAAATTGTCACCTTCCTAACTAGTATTTTGTAAAAATGGGCTACTACCCAAGGAAAGGTTGCCTATATTTGTCAAATTATATCCTTGAATGAAGTCCTCAAAAGCTGAATTGCCTTGAGAGTTGAACCCTTTATACCTTTGATCAAAAGGTTAAGTTGTTTGGTTCAAAACTACAAAAATGCACCTCTAATAAGCACTTAAAGAATGCTTGACCTGGAAGACAAATCCAGAGGTATAGCGTACCTAATATTAACCTAAAATATGTCCGCAATGTTAGGTAATTTTTTGGCATATTGATAAATAAACATTATCTTACGAGTGACCAATGAAAATTCCTTCCAAGTTTGCAATATAGATTGGTAAAAAAAGTCAATATGTCTACTTAAAGATTTTTTTACTAAATATTTAGTAAATTTCTATTTTTACGAATTTGTGAGTGGAAGTGTCTTACCTGGAGTTAAAATTACTTGCAGATATATGTCTCAATAGTTATAGTTTCAAAAAATAGCCTTTCATGACAATTTCGTTGCCTCCTCCCACTCAATGATCTTTGATGACTGTTTGATTCTCGGTTCTTTTAATTTGCAAAGTGTTTGCCTATGTATGCTAGTTTCTATAGTGATATTTAGAGTATGTCTGGAAAATAAACCGGAAGAGGCCTATATAGGTTTATAGTTTATACCTCTCAATGCTACCGGGTTATTAAAAAGAGACTCAGCTATCACGCATGCGCGTTCAATTCGGAAATATTGTTGTAATTGGTGCCTTCTGCCTAATATTCGGACTGTGTAATACAGAACATAATTTTGAAGTGATCTTTTATTCTCTATGACACAGTTCAGATCCTATACTTTTTTCTTTGCAATAAGCTGAATACGAAATTTTAAAAAAACACACAGTATAATGGCGAATAAGCCACACAACTATCAAAATCAAACACCAAATGCTGCTAATGAACGAACCCCGAAACATCCATCTCTCTCTCCCTCTCTATGGATTAGTCGACGACTGTAATTTAAAAAGAAAAAATGTTCCCTGTCAAGAATTTTTTGCCTACCGCAAACACGCATTACAAAGTGGGATTGTAGTATAATTCATACACATCTTGCCAGCTACAAGAGACTATGCTTTTTACCTGTATAAATACGAATGATTACTAGAATTCGAGAATTTTTTACATATCGATTTATCTTTATCACAAGATCACCTAAAAAGTTGTTTATATAGTTCTACCTATTAGTAATAAATGCGTCATCGACCTAATATTGACTTCTAAATTACTCTGGTCTTATTCCCCAATTTGGGAAAATAACAAACGCTTGGAAAAAAATATAACCTTTTTTAAATTGGTTATGCAATCCTGTTAACCCATTTTGTGATCGAACTAACGTAATTATAACTTAAAATGTTTGTCGGGTTTGAAACAGCTGACATTCACTACACGCTCACTTCTAGTACGCGCGGAATAAACTAGAGGCCACCTAGTGCACAAGTTGACACATTTATTACCGATTTTATGACATTACATAGGTTTTTTACGTGATAACCCTGCCAATCTCTGGGAAACATCCGCACTGACATTATGGAGCAAGTCTGACAACTACCTGCAAAACTTCTCTGGGAGAGGTCACAGAACGGAAGCTTACATAGGAGGGTGACGTATACTATTTGAACGAAAGGTTTTAAAATATCAAGCTTGCTGCACAACTGTGTGATGTGAGCTACAAGGTCTCCTGTTGCTACCAGACCCTAATTGGCGGGGATATTACGTACCTTGAAAAGTGAGATTATGTCTGTTTTTTTGGCATAATGTAGGTTTTTATGACGTTATGTAGGATTTTCGATGTCAACTTGGCTCTAGCTGTCGTTCACTTCATGCTTTTTTGTAGCCAGCGCGGAATGGATTATTTTGCACACTAACCTACTTAGTCAACAAGTTGACATTTTGTCTGTTTTTTTTTGACATTATATAGGTTTTTTTACGACATCGGATCACCTTGCTGCTCACAGAAATCAGAGCTACATAACCGTAGTTGTAAGAGTATTGATCCTAGACCCTTTCTTCGATAATTATATCAGCTTTTAAAGCTTTGTTGGTATCAAGTGATCCGATGAGCCGCCTGATAATCATTTGTTGGAAAGTTAGTCCTCAAAATTTGCGTTATACAGGGATTCAAATAAAAGCCATCACTCCGTATTTTTTTTCTCAAAGCTGATTGTATCTCGTAGTTTAGGAATCAAAATTTTGAACGAATCATTCCAAAGGGCGATATTACAGAGGAAATTGAAGGAATCGATTACAATCATCTCCAAGGATCCGATTCCGATCCTGTTAATTTCGATTACGACCGGTTTGTATGTTTACACTTTTAGTTCCAACGACTCCAAACAAGTAACGACATGGAAAGTAACAATTGTGGTGTGGAGTTTGAAGTATGAACGATTTTGGATTCATGTCAAGTTGCCATTTTACTGTTAGGCAAATGTCCACAATCAGTGTTCGCTGAGGTCCGTCAGAATTTGTCACGGAATGTAATATCTATTGCCGCGTAGCCAGGAGGTCAGTAATTATTCATGTATATTTAATGTATATATGGTTGCGTAGAAGTTCAATACTGATGGTTCGGACCGCAGTAAATACTGGCTGCATGATATTTACCTTAAGTTTATAGTAGAAGATAAAAACGAGAGAGTAAAAATAGGATTAAGCTAAGTTATGAGATTTAGTGAATTGGAGTACAGCAAACTGTAAATCATTTCATGTAGCAAGACCGACACGTAACGCGAACAGTGTGTATGATTACACTTTTAGCCAAACCGAAAAAGTCAAGTCTGAACCCACTGATAACCACAAAAATTTGACTAAGGCTACTACAGAGTTTTATAACTCGCAAACCGGTTTTTTAAACACCAGTCATGTATTTAGTCATCATCTTCTTCTTCTTAGTCTTTCTCTGAATATGCTAACATAGCGAAACAACCATCGTGCATTTAAACGACCGATTTGGCGAGTGGTAAAACTATGTAGTACCTAGTCATACTTATAAGACGTCCAGAAAAAAGCTACAGTGCTACCGCCTCGGTCGATAGGCCAGCAGGAAATCGGTGCTGAGGTTATTCCTTTTTGCAGTGACAATTACCTGAATTGGAAGAATTCATATTGTCGATATAACAACTACTAAGACAAACATCTTAATGTTGAATTGAAAAAATATACTACTTATACAGTGCTTTTCAAAAAGGTCCCCTTGCTTGAACGGGCCAAGCTGGCATAATGACAAACGGGATGATGAAAGTAATACATTAATACTACACTTTGGCGTGAAGATAACAGTTATGAAGGCGGGGCTAAGCTGACAACAGCAGAAGTGACAAAGAAAAAAATAACATCCGTTAGACTTAATTTTTGGTTACTTACTCTCACGATGTTTTCCATATTTGTTGCATAGTATAGAACAACTCTTCAGAAATAATTTCACATGTCAGCAGAGGCGGATCCAACAGAAATTTTTGAGGGAGTGGTGACAGGGCAAACCAAATGCTTTAATTTCTGATTGAGAAATAATTTTGTCGAACATGCGAAAACAAGCAGCAATTTCATATATTCAAATTGATTTGATGTTTACCCATTTTAGGACAACACTTCTTCGTATCTAACCTCCATGTCATAGTTTACATTAGATTGACTACTTCCCAGATGCCTAAAAAGCAGCAGTTCGATTCGAATATGCGAATTTGATGATCAGATGACGCGCGTCTGACGGGTGGTTAAGATTCGGTTTATGAGTGTTTAACCAACGAGAATGGATATGAAATAATCTATTTGTATGTAGATAACGTACAGAAGACGACGTAGAAGAGAAAAGGCATGCTGTGTTTACCCTTTTTTCCCTACTTTCTATCTATACCAATCCTCGGAAAAATGATTGGAAATTTTGTAACTACGTTAGAATGTAAATAAAATCATTGAATAGCAGGATAGAATGATTTGATTATTGAACAAACCTACATAATATGTTCATTTATCATTCGGCACCACCGGAATTGCGAGAAATTCGGATCAGCTCTTCTTGGGCCCTTTTTTGACGTCTTATTTGGTTATCACTTGGAATACATGTCCGAAATAGCAGACCTCTTTGTAATTTCTGTGTTATTTTAAAGCAAGTGTCAGGCGAACAGCGAAAGTCTAAGTTAGCGTTAGATTACTACAAGGATACACGTGAAAATGAGCGCTCTTGGCTGACGAGGTCAAG